GCATAACCGCCGCAAATGCAACGCGACACCAGGTAAGCTCAGCGCATTCCTGACGGAGATGGCTCAAATCGAGAGCGGTCCCACTGGAAAGACGTGCCTTGTGCAAGCCATGTTTTGAATTTGCACCGGTTGTCTACAAAGACAAATGCACGTCGATCCTACCCATCTATTCAACAATCGTATAGGCAGTCTATAGCAGGCCCCCCACCTGTTTGTTGATACATGTTGATACTCTGTCACTTGACTCTGTGGAACCATGTTGTAGATGGTCAATCATGGATTCCACGAGTTCTTTTCTTCAGAGTTTATGCTGTATGTTACGCCGCATGCGCATGTGTGCCAAGTGTTTCAATGCCTTCTCCATTTGTCCTTCCCCATGTGATGCAGCCGGAAGATGGACGTTGGGATCAAACAAAGTGCTTCATTGTTGAAAACCCCCTGGTAACATTTTGTAACTTGAGTTTGTTCAGGGATATGTGCGAGGTTTGATGTTAAGCAAATGTTGCATGTATAGATTTGGGGACACAGCCTGCACTCTCAACAAACCATATGTTGCTTCAGATGAGAATAACAGAAGGATATGTGCTTCAGTGCTGCGCTGTTTGCTCAGGAAGGGTGCCTTTTCTACGGTATGCGGACAGATTAGGAGCGAGCCTGGTCCTTATGTCACAGTGATTGGTATTGTCGGGTCTATGGATGAAGGGAACTGCAGTGATGCGAACATCGTCTTCAGTTTGTTTTCTGTTTTCTATAGCTTTGTCAATTTTGATGTAAAGTAACAGCAGCAACCAGCGGCCCTGTGGAGCAAAGGTCAATTATGTTCACGGCCTTTCACAAGCAAGTGAAGAGCCTTGGCCGCGTTGTTTGGCAGATCACCGGATGTTCTTCAGAATTGCATGGACTGTTGTTTCAATAGCAAACATGCCATTTCGATACATTTATGCAGGAATTCCTTCAGTTTGATTTGTTTTTCCAATGCAATCAATCTCCAACAATGATGCTTATGGTATTGAATCCGTTTTGTCATTCTGTATCATTATTTGGATGGCCCAGGACCTACTTCCCAAAGTCTGCAGCGAAGAGCAAAGCGAAGAAGTCTGACAAATCTCCGCCTGAGTGAATCACCACTTTGGGTGGTCTCCTGCAAAGTTGTTCAATGATTTGATATTATTTGATATGTATATATATATTGTATATTGTATATTTTTTGATGGTCAGTGTCACCTGCAGTTGTAAATGTGCTGTGTTGTGCTGGAGCGTGAGTGGTGGCCAACCGGTGTCTTTTCACCTCATATTTATATCTATAGGTGCAGAATGCACAAAGCCCAGTCCTTGCAACAAGTGGGGATGCTTTGTTGCCTTTGGATTGGCATTTTTGTGGCTTTGTACCTTGAGGACTTTTGGGCTTTTGGGGGTACCACATAAAAGCTCGTTTGTTGTATACTCTGGAACTATAGCCTGTTGATGTGAAAATGGTGTGTTCAAAAGGTCCCCGACGAGCACAGTTTAGGCAAGTGAGTTGGGTCCGGGACGACGTGTTTTGCAGAACATGGTGAACTTTCAGTAAAGCCCTCAAACTTTCAGTTAGGTGAAGCTTCAGGTCAAGGGACCAGTGGGCATTCTACCCTCTACCCTGAAGCGGGGTAACCTTTTTATCACCACGTGTGACTCCACATGTGCTTTCCGGCGGGGTTTAGGTATGCAGGCTTGCCACGTGCAAAGCTGCGTGGTAAGTGTCTGCAGGGGTTTGCAAATGTCACAGGTGTTTGATGTTCAGCCTGCCAGTTCCAGGACCTTTGCAATGCCTCTGTTTGTAGCGACATTTGGGATAGGCATTTCAGCAGACTTTGCAGGTCATTCTTTAGTGGAAGCCAATCAAATTTCATCAAATTCCGTTTTGTGGGTTCTAGCCTTCTGGGTTCCATTCTTCTGGGTTCCATGTAGTAGATGGAATACAAAGCGGCATGAAGCGTGAAAGGTTGAGGTTGAACATCTGGCATCTGGCCTGTTGTTTACGCTTGGAGTAGCGTAGCCTCAGATGCAGTGTGACAATCCAAACACTCAAACGCGATGAGGCTGAAAACACTTTGGGAGATGATTGGTTGAATACAAATTCGTCCTTCTCGAAGGAGGTCTCAAGTGCACATCTTGGTTGGTCATAGCGGCAGAGGGAATACTGTGTGTATACCGCCTTTATTTCGTCGTTCGCATGACCACACAGGTACAGATGAGGACCCTCTGGAATCCATGCAGGACGTGCTGGACACATATGTTGTCACTGGCCGGAGGTTTTGATTAATGCAGCAGTTGCTTGTTTTGGGATATGGTGTCCCTCTAGATAGGTTGCTGATTGAACGCATGCTCTGTGAGATTGTCTGATGACACTTCTCAGGCCAATTCTGCAACAAAAGCTTGCAAATCGGCAAGATCGAGCGCATCTTTGGCTTCATGGCGGGAATGTCCCAGGGACAAATTGATGCTGCAGGACTTTGGCCGCATCGATGGTGCTCGACCAGGCAACAAGCTTCGTGATATGCAGCGGCTGCTTGGGAAGAGAGGGTTTATGCCAAACATTCCAGTTTCTCAGATTGAAAAGGTTCCTGGTCTTTTCATTGGAACACTCTTTTTGATATTTTTTGAGACGTCCGTCTTTGTGAATTTGATACGTCTGTCTTTGTTCTCAAAGGACCAGGTGAAGTTTGTTTATATAATTGAAATTGTGTCAACTGTCAATGGTTGTTATTTGCATGTTATTGCAGTCCTTCCACCTCACCTGCCTTATCTTTCCTTGCTCAGGTACACGAAGCTGGGAGTGGTTCCTGGAAGAGCCATCCAATGCTGGATGTGACAGCCTTTGCTCGATGGCTTCTCACCTCGTCCAGGTTCTCGAACTTTTTGCTGGCTGGTGAGAATTTAGAGAATGTACGTGAGTGGACTTCCACCATGACGGATTTTTGGGAAAATTTTCGGTCGGTGCAGCCAAGTCATCCAGTTTTTGAAGACCACGCATCTGAGCTTCACCTTACAATTCCTATTCTCATGCATGGAGATGAGGGGGTTGGCCACCGAAGAAAGCCAGTTCTTCAAATCTCCTGGGGGCCAGTGCTTGGGGCTGGACAGGCATCTCTCAAGAGATTGTACCTGATCACCTCTTGTCCAGCAAAGCTTTACAGCCAGTACAACAAAGGCATTGAAGCTGGAAACCCTGTGATTGAGAAATTGCTGGATGCTGTTGGGAAGAGTTTGATGCGTGCGTACTTCCAGGGGGTTGAATTGCCTAAGGATGCTGTGTGTGGTGTTGAACGGATCTACTTGGTCTGCATAGCTCTTTGTGGTGACCATCCATGGCATGTAAAGTCCATGAAGTGCTTGAGACACCACACACGGAAATACATTTGTCCTCTTTGCCTTGCAAACATTGGTGCAGAGATACCGTTCGAAGATGTCTCGATGAATGCAATGTGGACTCAGACAGTTGGCCAGTCTCCTCCATTTCAAGGGCAACCACCCCTCTGGCAGGTGCCAGGATCCATGGCACATGAGTTCATGAAGATTGACCTCATGCACACCCTGCCACACGGTGTTGGCAGAAACTTCGCAGCTTCTGCCATATGCATGCTTGCTGGGCCACTAGGGCACTTCAAGTCATCAGGGCATCATCGCCGTGACAAAGATAGTGTCCTTGAGGCGGCCTACGATGACTTCTCGGCCTATTGCCGTGCGGTTGGGCAGCAAGCAAGGGACGTCAAGGAATTTACAAAGGAGAATCTGCATTGGGAGAGCAACAACAAGTTTCCTGATCTCACTTGCAAGGCAAGTGACTGCACGCTGTTAGTCCAATGGCTTGTCGACTACCTTCAAAGACCGTTTAGACGCACTGAGCCCCTGGACCTCTGCTTTCGAACCGCAGTTGCCTTTGATGCCTTCAACCGGCTGTGCTACACTTCCAGCAGTCGAGTGTGGTTTACACGTGATGAGGCTCAACTGGCCTTTGAACACATCATGACTTTCCTTTGCTGCTACAAAGCCCTGACAAACTGGAGCTTCAATCATGGATGGACGTTGTTTATGGCCACACCAAAGCTGCACTTTGCAGCTCACTTTGCTTTTGACCTGTTCAAGTTTTTGCAGTCAGATGCAAAAGTTACATTCAATCCTGGGGTGTTTGCGACCCCGATGATGGAAGATTTTGTGGGGGTGACGAGCAGAATTGCACGAACCTCTCACCCTTCAAGTGTTGCAAGGACCGTGATATTTAAATATCTCGTTGTTGCCCGCAAGGCGTGGGCTGAAGGACCCACCAAGAGGAAGGAGAAATTCTGCTTGGGGCTGGGACTGGTGGGAGTGATGGTTTTCGCGGCGGTTCTGTAGGATTGGTCTGTGGTGATGAAGAGTTTTCCATAGTTTTCCATGAGATTGGTTTGTTGTGATTGGGTGAGATAGCAACATGAATAGTCAATGACCATCAGGGTGTCAGCCAAGCACAGAATACCTTAATAGGAACCAACACACTCTACAAATCAAGTGACTTGGGCATGAAGGAGCATGAAATCCACCTGGTGGCCTTCCTTAAAAAATGTGTTTCCGAAAGAAACCAGAAATATAAGATAAACCATTTTTTTTGGTTTCGGAAAGAAACATTGAAAAGGAACACCTTTGGAGGGTGCAGGTATATGATCGGCTGGAACTGTTCACAGACAATTTTCAGACGTTTGTTCCCAAATGTGCGGCAAAAGCTGGACTGGACCACTCATCCTGCTGGTTCAATGACCAACCTTGCCCGGCAACAAGGTCGTGCAATCACAACTTGAGAGATCATACAAGATTGACGATCTATAGTACTGTATCGGAAAGGGTTTTTAATTTAAGAGAGTCTCACAAACAAGCACGTATTCAACCAAGCAGCCAAGCAAGGAAGAAACCAGCCCGTCCAACACCCAACCACCCAAACCAGCCAACCAACAACCTCCTTTCAGTACCATCGATACCATCCAAGCATCAGTGCTTGGTAGATACCAAAGGCCTTCTCCACCGCCAAGGTTGAGGGCGCAGATGACATGGCCTCGGACCACACTTCGCCACAGTCAAAGAACCCCAGATCCCGGACCAGGCCCAAAATTTCGCAGCACATTGCTGCCCAACCTCACGGAACAGCACCACTGGCAAAGTATCAGATATCACCCAGCAGGTGCCCAGCATGGCTCCATGGACAGGGTCCCAGCATGCGTTAAAGGGCTAAGAAACCTCCAATCCTCCCTGCCACTTCTTCTATAATGTACAGTCAGAAGCAGCAGCATGTCCTGATTAATTAATGCACTCGTCCTTCGAACCATTTTGAACCTGAAAAAGGCCACTGTTGTTCCTATCACCTCCTAATTGCATAGTATCAATCCACGCTTCCGCTTCCCGTGCCGCTTCCGCCGTGTCCAACCCTCACCTCCCGAACCTCGCTCCACCTCGTCCCCGGTGGGGGCGTTCCCTCCAAACTTCCGGGGGGCGTTCGCCACCAGCTCCTCGGCCCATTGCCGGTGCGTGGGCAACAAGGACTTCTCGCGGATGGCCCGTAGGAGCACCTGGTTGGCTCGCGAACCGCGATGGCCCGCCAGGTCGGATCGGTGGCAAGGTCAGGCGTGCAACACCAACGGCAAAGGCTCTTCTGGCACCGGTCCCTTTTTCCGTGCTTTCATCTGTTGCCCTACTAAACAGCATGACGAACGAGACCGACCAAGACATACCACAAGAAAGTGGTGAATATCCTCTTGCTATTGATTCATTGTTTACAAACTCTTCGGTGGTTCCAGGTCCATTTATTCATCCCCCTTCCCCTCCCTTCTCCTTTCTCCACCACGCACCCCCAAAAAAGGCCACTCCCTGCCGCTGCCCATGCCGTGCCTCTCGCATCAAGGGTCGGGAGACTTCGGAGGTGCGAGCGCCGCCGGGGACATACTGCTCCCAGAAGCGTGCGAAGTCCCGCTGCTGTCCATCCGAAGCCCCTGACAGCAGCTTCGACCTCAAGCCGCTGAGGGCTGAGCTGGTGAAGAAGGTCGGAAGATGGGCCAGTTGGGTGCTGGGAAGCAGGACACTAACATTCAGGAACCTTGCACAAACTTTTGCCCACGCCTGACCTCTGCAATGGAAGCACATGCACCAGTCATTTCATTGCAGTGCTACTTCGCACCTTTATCTTGAGGTAGTGGCAAGAGACAGGCTGTCCATGGAACCGAGATACCGAAAGACACCCTTTGGGAAAAAGAATATTTTGTGTTCTTGTCAACTTCCTTCCCACAAGAATCTGTCACCACATGGTTGAGGCTAGTCTCCACCCATTGGAACTTCGGTCAGAGGGAGATATAATATCCCTCTGAAATCAGCAAAACCTACACCTCAGAGCCCAGACGAGCAGAGTTACTCAAAGGGCAGCGCCTTTTTGTAGACCAGAAACCAGGAACGACACACCAACAGGTTTGAGATAAAGCATCCAAAAGCTAAAAACATCATAAACATCTACACTGCAGTAACAACAACAACAACAACAACAACAACAACAACAACAACAACAACGTGTTTGTAGACAGATTCTAGTACTGTATGAGTAACACCGAACATGTTGGTCGAACGTGTCGGTCGACGTGGTGCGGTTGCAGGTTCTAGGGCCATCTAGGGCTACAGCCGTCCCTGCACACATCACAGCACCAAAGAATACCAAAGGAGCATTGGCCTTCAAGGATACATTTAACAACAATAACGAGAACATCCCATGGCATGATGGGAAATCTGTGTTCTCGGACGCCTCAAGATGCCTCTTTGGACGTCGACCTCTGGGAGGTTCGGCATTTTTTGAGGTAACACGAATCCGCGCATTATGGGACATCAGACATCCCTGATGTTTGGACATATACTGCCAAGATCTCTAACCATTGTACCTTCCATTTGCCTCCCACACTCGGGCCAATCGATATATTATAGCCACCTTAAAGAACTAGACGACGAGTGGCCCGAAAGCATTTTTCATCACGTAGGAAATCAGAGTGCGAGTTATCCGGTAAGTGTGTAGTGAGAAGTGTTAAGTCGAGTGAGTTGAGGTAGTGTGTGGGTTTCTGTGCGTGTGTCTATGTCCGTGTGGAAACGAGTCTGCGTATGTGTGTGTTCGTGGAAGTTGAGGGAGTGTGTGGGTGTCTGTGTGCGATGCGGCCTCCCAAACCCCCCACCAGCGGCCAAGCGGTGACAGCCCAGCTCATCGTCGTGAGCATTTGGGCTGCTGGTAAGGGGACAATGGCAGCCAGCGTGCTGGCTTACCCACTTCAACTATGATGGCAGCCAGCGTGCTGGCTTTGCCATCTGGACAATGGCAGCCAGCGTGCTGGCTTACCCACTTCAACTATGATGGCAGCCAGCGTGCTGGCTTTGCCATCTCAACAATGGCAGCCAGCGTGCTGGCTTACCCACTTCAATTAGGATGGTAGCCAGCGTGCTGGCTCATACCCACTGCAACTATGATGGCAGCCAGCATGCTGGCTTTGCCATCTGGACAATGGCAGCCAGCGTGCTGGCTTACCCACTTCAACTATGATGTTAGCCAGCGTGCTGGCTTTCCATCTGGACAATGGCAGCCAGCAAGCTGGCTTCCACTGCCTGTTGTCAAAGGCACGTGTTAGTTGTACTACCAAGTCGCCAGTTCTCATCTTCCAGCTCCCCAGCTACTCCGCGCACTACAGTTATACTACACCGTCGCCAGTTCGCAGCTACTACCCACTCGCCAGTTCTCATCTTCCCATTCCCCAGCTACTCTGCGTACTAAAGTTGTACTACCAAGTCGCCAGTTCTCATCTTCCAGCTCCCCACCTACTCCGCATACTAAGGTCGTACTACAAAGTCGCCAGTTCTCAGCTACTACCCACTCACCAGTTCT